CTCCTTAGAGCAATAGATATTGTGCTAAATGGGAAAAAGGGTTAAAATTAGAATAAAAATAAAAATTGTAAATATATGGGATCGATTTTATGTCTGTCCACCAGACTCCGATATAAAATTTGTTCTCCAAAATTTCAAAAAAATTTGTAGTTTAAGTTTCAAATGTATGTCTGTCCACCAGACGCTTGCTTTTTTGCCAATAATTTTTTTTTTTTTTCCAAAAATTTCAAAAAAATTTGTAGGTTTTGTATCACATGTGTGTCTGTCCACCAGACGCTTGCTTGGTTTCCAAAATTTTCAAAAAAAATTTAGGTTATTTTTTGTCTGTCCACCAGACGCTATTTTTTTTTTTTTAAACGGTTGTTATTTACTTCTTTATGTTATCGATAGGCGCCAAATATTTCCAAAAAATATGGCGACTATATTTTGCAAGTGACGCTTTGTTTCCAAAAAATTGTATATACTTTTTGCAATATGGCGTTTATATATTTGCCAAGTTTGGTGACGCCAATTTTCCAAAGTTCAAAGCTTATGTATTTGTGTCAATATGGCGCTTATGTATTTACCTGAACTCCACGTTCAGAAAATTCCAAGATTTTTAGTATATATATAGTTATTTATGGCTGAAAATTCCCGCTATTTTTGAAAAAAATATGTGTCTGTCCGCTTTTTTCCTTCGGGTCAATAGCCAAATGTCCGTCCACAAAAATGGCTCCAAATTGGGAAATTTTCCGTCACAGTGTCTAAGTGGGCAACTAGCAGCTTTGAATATGGGTCAAAGTGTTATTGCAAATTATGGGAATATGCGGGTCAATGCAAATATTGAAGATTTGCCTGCTCCCGAAATGCCCTTTTGTGTCAAAAAAGAAATTTAAACGAGTACTCACTTTGATTTTGGGTTTTGGGTCTCGGTTGTTGTTGGTGTTGTTGTGCTGCGTGTGTCCGTCCGTCTCTCCTTGCTGCTGGTTCCACAATTTTCCTTGTTGTTGCTCTCTGTGTCACTGTATATTGTCTCTTTTGTATCACTTTCTATTGTCTTTTTGGGTAAATTAATCTTTAATGTCACTTTTTTTTATGTCACTCTTCTTTTTGTATAAAAAAATTAATGTCACTTTTCTTCTTGTATAAAAAAATTAATGTCACTTCAACTTCTTTTTGTTAATTTGTTGAAAAAATTTTTTATTTTTCTTTTTTTAAAATTGAAGAAAAAATTTAATTTTTCTAAAATTTTAAAAATTTATTTATTTTCTTGTAGCACTGTGTAACTTTACTTTTTGTTGCACTGTGTAAAGTCTATTTTTTGTTAATTATTTTTTTTCTCAACTCTTTTTAAACTTTGCACTTATTTTTGAACCCCACTGTATTTTTTTCTATTTCACTGTTCTTTTTTCTCACTGTTCTTTTATGCGTCCACTCACAAATTGTTCTTTTTTGTTTTTAATTATTTAAAAAACTTTCACTTTTTGATCCGGCTCTGGAGGACCAAATGTTTTTAGGCTTACCTTTTTTGCCCTTTCTAAATTATAACAAATTTATATGGTTTTTTTTTATTTATTTCAAATGGTTCGTTTTTATTTGTGTTTTTATGGGGGTGCACTTAGATTTAAGGATAATTAGGTTTAAAATTTGAATAATTTATTTTAGGTTTATTTCATGGCGTTTTTATTTTGTAGACTTTAAATTTTAGTTAATTAGTATTAATTCATTAGATTTTAAGTTTTTATGTACAAGTTTTATATGTATGGTGTATGTGTTTTTTTTTATACAATTTTGTTTTTCACCTTCTTGTTGTGTGTTGTTGAACGTCTTTGTAATTTATTTTAACAATTTTAACTCGTTTTGTAATGTTGATACTTCTTGTTGTTGGTTAGATTTTCACTGTTGTATGTTAATATCAATGTAATTAGATTTGGTTCTCTATTTTATTTTGCACTGACACTTGTCACACGGGGGGAAACTTGTTTTCGCGACGAAAATTAAATCAGAACTAACTATTGTCCAATTTGCATCGTCACATCAAACCAGTTTTGGCTGTTGACGATGCTTATTTATTGGAATTCAGCATTGGAATTTACCGGTGGCTGCATGAATGTATGTGTGTATATGTAAGTGTTTCAATCATTTACATCATTCCGTTTTGATGTATTTTATGCAGCCGCCGGTAAATACCCAACCAACAGTGTTGGGCAAAATTGCGTAAATTTATGAACACATACGTAAATATTAACTTACATTACAGTAGCTCTTAGCAAAAAAGGTGGAAATCGCTGATTTGGGGTTTATTGTGATTTTATGAAAAAAGTTAGAGGTATTATATCAATCTGCCCAACAAAGCCCTATTATAGGTTGCCTCTATTTTCATGCCTTTCCAAATTTTAAATAGATTTGAATTTTTATTCGAATAAATAAATAGAACTCTGTTATTGAAATTTAGATAATTTTTTATTGGACATTTTTAGTTGCTATTAATAAAAAATTTGAACCGTACCTTTTTGGGGGGAGATTTTTTGTAATTGGTATGTCCCCTACAAAAAATAAAAAAAAGAACATTCCACTGAAAATGTACAAAAAATGTCAGAATGTAATAAATTCCGATTAGAACGGACTTCAACTCCCCTGGGTATATACAAGATATGAAAGCCATACAGAAAAGGGAAGCGCGTTAGAAATTATCTGTAAAAACTTAATCACTCCATCACAAGCCAAAATATCAAATTATAGTTAATTCCTTTGGAAATGTGGTCAAAATCCACACCAAAACGGGAACATCTATAGACAATTTTATACTTTAAGGATTTTAATCTACCAAATCTTCTTAAATGTCAAAGTTGAAATAGTTTCGTGGATAAATGTGACTAGGATTATCAAAATACCCAACATTAGTGGGACCTATATATTCAATGTTTTGCTAACGGAGCTAGAACCCATTGTGAACTAAAAATGGCAATTTTTCGAAAAATCCGCGGAAAAATGTGGCAAACATTATCAAAACACCGAATATAGGGTGGTACCGTTATATGGGGCATATACAAAATCGTGGACCTATACATACAATGTTTCGCTACCGGAGCTAGAGCCCATTATCACCTACAAATACGAAAAAAAAAACGTGCACCGATATATCTAATTTTGAATGCCAACCATCCTAGTTACAATACAAATTGTTCTGACAAATTTTGAAGCTCTATGTCAAATAATGTGGGCTGTATCGTGATTTCAACAGACAGGCAGACAGACAGAAAGACGGACAGACATCGTCAACTCGACGTAAAATTTTATGCTGATTATGAATATATATACTTTATTGGGGCAACGACGAATATTTAGGGATGTTACAAACGAAATGACAAAGTTAATAGACTCTCCTTATCAATATATAACTTAAGTTACATGTCTCTACATTTAGGAATCCGGGGCCCGTGGTTTGGAGGACCAAAATGAATTTAACAACGAACTCTATCATTGGCACCCAACGTTATTTTGAATATAGGGTTATTTTGAAGAAACAAGTGATGATTTTATTTAGCTACTAAAAGTCTATTCCTGAATAGGTCCTCCTGAAATCCTATCGAATTTTTGAAAAAAAAAAAAAAAAAAAATAGAAATGGAAATGGAAATCTGGCGCCCAACGTAGTTTATTTTACGGGGGGGTTTTAAATATTTTATGACCTATTGAGAAGCAGATGCCCTTTTTTAGACAGGTACAACAATACAAAGCAATGTATCTAGATTGCGGGTACAAAAAATATGAAATATGGCGCCCAACGTAGTTTATATTACATGGGGGTTTTAAACATTTTATCACCTATTGAATAGTAGATGTCCTTTTTTAGACAGATACAAAAATATAAAGCAATGTATCTAGTTTGCAGGGACAAACAAATATGAACATTAACTCTATCACAATTGAAATCGACTCCTCCTGGCGCTTAACGTAATTAAGAAGGCAAAATATTTATCCACAATACTATCGGCTACATGGTTATCACAATTGAAACTAACCGATTTTGGCATCCAACGTATCTTTGAATTTGAGATTTTAATCGATGGAGGTCAGTGTATATAAAATTTTCAATAAGGGAAGGTCACTGATTTGTGGTGAACAAAATAGTTTGTAAATGACAGTCACTGGCGCCCAATTTAATTTAGAAGGCATTGTATTTATCCGGTCATATGAGGCCCTGTGATTATTAAAATATATTCAAACTGAAAGAGGACACAGAAAAGTTTCACTAGAATTTAAAATCCTAATAATTTTAAATCCTACAATAAAAAAGTGAATTTTATCATAAGAAAAATCCTCAACCTTGATACCAAGTCAATGATCCCAGGGGCAAAATATTAAAATTAAATTGAAAATTAAAGAATTCTCATGGCGCCCAACGTAATTTTGAAAGTGTGGATTTTACTGAAAAAAAAAGCTATAAGCTCTTAAAATTTATAATCCCAAAAATGCTGCTTATAAATACATACCTTTAAATCCTAAAAATACGTTTGTATATTCTTATTTTTACTTTAAGCCACTGTATGTAATTTATTTAAAAAAAATTGATGCAAATATAATACACGTGTCATGAAAAGGGTTTCTTTAATTTTTTGTTTTTAATAAGCTTTACTTTTGGCATTTTGTTTATGACATTTAATGTTGTTTTCTTTAAGAGTTTAACTTTTCTTGTTAGGTTAGTTTTATTTTAAACGATTTAGTTAAAGCATTATTCTCAGTTGGGGTTTTCTTTTCTTTAGTTTTTTTTTTTTTTTATTAATTACAATAATTCATAGCTTGTGGTTTCAATATCTTTAATGATTTTTTCTCTTCCCTTCCATTGTTTTTTTTTTTCCTTTAATAGTCTTCCATTTTTAATGCTATACGAGTTGCAACTAAAACTAATTAAGTATTTCTTGTTTTTAATTTTTTTCTCTTTTCCTTTAGAATAATTATCCATGTAATAATATATGTTTTTTTAAACTTAAAAAAATACCTTTTGCTCTCAAATCATTTGTTTTTCCATTTTTTTTTTTGTTTTTTACTCAATGACTGTTTAAATTCTAGTTAAATATACATACATATATAATCAGTGTTGTATACATATATACTGCTATCAAAAAATACTTTCATTTTTATGTGTGTGTGTGTGTTTTTTTTTAATTTTCTTTTTTCTTGATTTTCTTTCTTAAGTTTTATTTTAACACATATACATTAAGAAATCTGAAAAATGTTGTTTTTATGTATTTTTTTTATAAATAATTTTAATAGACCTTTTTTCCAATTTGGTGTTTCCTTTCGAAGGTTGTGATACCGAATTTTTGGGATGTTTTGGAAAGAAAATAGTTGGGGAGAGATGCAGTAAGAAGTTTTGGAAATGTAGTTTTTCAATAGAAGTTAAATTTGCCGTCGAATAGGCCTTAGATTAATTACGTTGGGCGCCATAAAACTATCGACTATATGGCCCTTAAATTTATGGATCACGGGTTTGTTTTTGGGGGGAACCATAATAATTCTATCAAAATTGAAACCAACCTATCTTGGCGCCCAACTTTAATTTGAAGTTGAGGAATCATCAAAAGAAAAAAAATCGGGGATCATATGATTTTACAAAACAGAGTGCCACTGATTTGTGTTATCCAAATATAACCATTGCTTACTTATTTTAATTTTGCATGGGGTCTTTGAACTTTTCATGACCTACTTAGTAAATGATGGGCTATGTCTGAAGGGGTACAAAAGTAAAAGGCAAGGCTTCTATTTTATAACGACCAAAAATTGAGTCTCTAGGCGCTAAGGCAAATTTTGATGGTGGGGATTGGACGCACAATTGGGAATGTTATTACCGATTTTTAAAAGATATAAGTGCTATTAAAATTTGAAACGGAAATAATATTAATATTGAAGTAAAAATATGACAATTGGCACCCAACATATGTGCTATGTTTAAAAAAAATTGTATTAGGGGTTGCCACTGCTGTTGGTGGCGATTAAAGTAAATGTGAGAATTTTTGAAAATTGACTATTATTTTTAAGAGGTGGATTTTATTGATGAAAACTAGTATGTATGTAGTCATGGAAATTACAGTTTTATGGGTCCACTTTTATGAAATCGAATAAGGCTGGCGACCAGCGTCATTTAAGTAGTTACGTATTTGTTGCATAGAAAAGAATATGAAAATATTTGATAAAACAATCGAAATCAACTCCTATTGACGCCCAAAATAATTTTGTAGCTGACGATTTTGGGTATATAATCATCTAGCTCTGGCGCCCACCTTTTTTTTAGAAAGAAACAAAAATAAAATGCACAATGGATTCTATGAGAACTAAAACTAAACTATCTTGGCGCCCAACATTATTTTAAAAGGCTTTTTCGATACAAATCTGTTCTAACTGATCCTTGAATTGGTCCGTCTGTTTTTTTTTTTTTTTTTAAGAAAACGGTTGGCGCCCTATGTAATTAAAATCAAATACTCCAGGCGCTCATTGTAATTTGGAAGGTGAGGATTTTAGAAAATCTGTTCTAAATGACATTTGAATATGTCCGTCTGTTTTGTTCAAGAAAACGGCTGGCGCCCAATGTATTTAAAAGGCAAAATATTTGTTTGTGTCAACAGAATGCTGAATAATTTAAATAAAATCTTCCTGGCGCCCAATGTATTTGAGAAGGGGAGGATTTTAGAAATGGAATCGTCAACCTCTGTCACAAAAGAAATTGACCAATCCTGGCACCCAACGTAGAATTAAAAACAAATATTTTATCGGTAGTGACGAGATGGACGAATAATTAAGGTTACGAAAGTTTGATAAGATTATTTTGAAAATATATTTATTTTCGTTGTTTCCAATGAGGAGCATTGGATAATAATTTGTAATTGAAACTGGCGCCCAATATAATTTAAGTGTCACGCTGGCGCCCAACCTACATTTAATGATTAAATTTTTTTAAAATTAGTTGAAACTGGCGCCCAATATAATTTCAAATTCAAAATATTCTAAAATAAATCTGTAATCTGTAAATCTGTAATTTGGACTCAGGAGATATTGATTTTTTTATCGACGAATGAAATTTTAAAAATTATTTCAAGCAAAATTTAAGTTGAATTATATTGGCGCCCAATGTAATTTTAAAAACGGACTTTAGTCACAAACGAAATGACACTCTTAATTGGAAAACTTTATAGTGGCTTCAACAAAATTGAATTCATATTCCATCCAAATTGGATCCAACAAATTATAGTCAAAATGCGTACTTTTTATGTGGAATATTTAATCTCTACGGAGTAAATATTTAATATCGATCCTACAGAGTACTATTTTGGAATCCAAAAGGGTAAAATTTCTTAATACAAGATATTGCCAGATATTGGGATTAGCTCCACATAACATTAACTCCAAATTATTCGGCCCAATTACGGTTGTCGTCCTATAGTCCTCGTCGACTTTATGTGGAAGTTGCCATCGCCGTCGCTTCGATTACGGTAAGGTATAGAAGCGACATCAAAAGTTTGTCAAAATTGTTGGCAGCGGCGAGTGCTAAGGCAGTAAACAAATATATTTCCATTGCCTGACTCCAAGTAAGTACATATTTTAATTAAAATATGTGCTTAAATTATTTTTAATTAAAATTTTTGGGTCCAGAGATACTCTCCTCTGTGACCACTTGTTAGATAGGTATTTTTCAAACGATAACTATATTGAAAAAATGCTTAACTCTTGAAAAAATTTCAAAAAATCGAACAGTTTTTACTAAACTAGAGTTGTTTCAACTGGCCACAGCATTGAGGATATTAGTAGGAAATGAGTTCAATATTTCCAAATTGTTTTGCTGTTGTTATTTTCATGGTCAAATATCAAATACAAAATGGTTAAAATATTAATGTTGGCTAAAAATACAATGTCGTCACAATTTTTTACGGCGACAGATATTCTATAGAAACGACTTCACGTCGACTGTTTCGTCTATGATAATAGCAATCATTCGTCGCTATCGACAAAAAACGACAACCCCAATACCGTTGTTCATTTTTGACGACGACTACCGTAATCTAACCTTTTTTCGAATATTAAGGAATAATTCGAAACAAATAGCAGACGAATTCGCAAAAATATTTACTTCCGGTACAAATTTTGTACGTTTCTCAGATTTTGTCTGCTTTGTCATATCATATAACAGATTTTTTGATAATTTAGATTTTAGGTGAAGAGCGAAAAAAATCAGCAACGTTTTTTGGAGTCCATTTAAACCACCAAGAAATATGGAATCATATCATGATTTTTTTTTTTTTTGTGAATATTAAATGGCGCCCAACGCAAATATTTAATATAATTATATTGTGGCGCCCAACGTCAGTATCAGAAGCAAATGAAAATATCAATTTGAACATAAGAAATAACCTTGGGGTTATAACCCGGATATTTTATATAAATATTCATTTAAGATATCCATAGAATTATGGAAGGCCTTTTCAACTGAATAACAAATACACCCCCAAACTTTTCTACATTTTACCTCTTCCCAATTATATCATCCCCTAAGTACTCCGAAAAAAAAATCCCGCATCATTTCCCCTTCGTTAGCGAAAACATGTAATCATATTACTGGATTTTCAATTTCCCAATTTTGGGTATTCGAACTTACATCTAATAAATTTTGAAATAAAAATAAGAAAAAATTTTTTGAAAACAAAAAAATATTTGCTTGCATTTTCATTTTTTGGAGTTTTAAGTTACTACAATAATCGCATTGGTTGATATCGTCTATATATATATAGTACGCCATGTTATATTTACCAAACAGGCGGTGTTGTATTGTTGTTGCTGTTGTGGTACAATAAACATACATATGTATTAATAGTATTAAGTTGCCTTGATCTTAATTAACTTGGTTGTTGTTGCTTTTGTTATTGGTGTTGTGGATGGGTGTGATGATGATTTTGTGATTGGTGTTGTTGTTGTCCTTGTTGCTGCTGCTGTCCTTGTTGTTGCTGTTGCTGCTGCTGAGGTGGTCCAAATTTACTAGTTATCTTATTGGAGACATTAACAATAGCCATTTCATGTTTTGAATCCATATCACAATCATAGAGACCACTGAGAGAATCTAAACTAAGGAGCCTTGAACTGGCACGACTCGACACAGATGTATCATCAACATCGGGAGCATTATATAAAGAATTGACATCGGATAAAGCACCTTCGGCATCGGTTAGACCAGCCTCATTAAGTAGAGAGATATTTTCCAAACCCGGCTCATCGGTTATGTAACCGGTGGATTCGGCACCGCCTGTAAAAACGAGGAAGATAATTTGTATTAGATTGTCAGTAGAAATGAAAAAAATGTGAGGGATGAAAAGGGATGTAATAACAGAGGTATTTTCTCAGCAAAAAAAAAAAAATAATTCCATCAAAATTCTTCAACTTTAGTCCTACCAAAGTATATATATTCTTGATCAGCGTAAAAATTCTAAGACGATTTAGCCCTGTCCGTATGTTGTAATCACGCTAGAGTCAAAAGGAATAATTATAGGAAGCAAAAACTTTAAACAGATCAGGCTTTTGTCTGCAGGCAGCTCAAGTTCGAAGATGGGCTATATCGGTCCACGATATGGTATAGCCCCCATATAACGGTACTTCCCAATATTCGGTATTTTTTTGATTTTAGTCCTATTTTTAATGGAATTGTCTAAAGATGCACACAAAGAGTTTCTTCTGACTATTTTACCCCTGCAAGTGAATTGTCTATATAGATCCACGATATCGTATAGACCCCATACAACTGTACCCCCCAATTTTCATGATTGTAGCCAAATTTTTCAGTGGAATTTTCTTATAACCCACAAAAAGGAATTCCTTATGAGTAAATTACCCCGTGTAAGAGAACTGTCTATATAGGCCCACGATATTGTGTATACCCTATTTAACGGTACCCCCGATATGCGGCATTTTCATGATTATAGTCAAATTTATCAATGGAATTGTCTGAAAATCCACACAAGGTGTTTCTTCTGAGCACTCTACCTCTCGGAAAAGAATTGTCTACATAGGTTCACGGTTTAGTATAACACCCATATTAAAGTACCCTCAGATCTTAGGTATTTTCAAGATTTTATCGACATTTTTTACCGGAATTGTTTCAAATTTCGTATTTAAAGTTCAAAGTGGGTACTCCAACCTTTGACCGAAAATTGTGTGTGCAGGTCCACGTCTATACGTCGTATAGCCACCATATAACGATACCTCCCTATATTCAGTATTTTTTATGATTTTAGGGACATTATTAACCGGAATTGTTTTAATTTTCGTATTTGCAGTTCGTAATAGGTACTTCAACATATAACCGAAAATTGTCTATGCAGGTCCACGTCCATGGGTCGTATAGCCCCCATATAACGATACCTCCCGATATTCAGTATTTTGATGATTTTAGGGGACATTATTAACCAGAATTGTTTCAAATTTCGTATTTGAAGTCCGTAGTAGGTATTTCAGCCTATGACCGAAAATAGCACGTCTTCGTATAGCCCCCATATAACGGTCTCCATTTCGACTGAATTTTTTTTAATGTTTCCTTCCAAATGGTGGAGTGTATAAAAAGTTCGGGTCTGCTGAACTTAGCTGCTTTTTTACTTATTCTTTTTACCTTGGACTAAAAGTCGACTTGTAGCTAAATATCAATTTTGCTTCCCAACCAAAGATAATCTTCATTTCATGTTCTTTGAAGTGTTGCCAACTGTCGATATTTTAGAGCACAAATATAAATAACAAAATTAAAACACGAAAATCATTGCATACTTTGAGGCTCGTACGAAAGACAAGGTGGACTAATAATCTATGAACGCAAAATCGATTACGAAAGGTCGCCATTGCGTTAAACTATTAAACTATACTGTTAAAAACTCGAAGTCAGAATCCATATTTCATATGAGTTTATGCCATTTCTTCTACAAAACATAATTTTAGAGGGATAAATCAGGAGCATTTTTTATATGGGCGCAACTCTGAAACAGGTTGCAAAAAAAAAAAAAAAAAAAACAGTGAAGAAAGCCTTAAAGTCGGGCGGGGCCGACTTTATGATACCCTACACCACTTTGCTAATTTAGTGGAGTTCCGCATAACAATTTAAAGTTTTTATGGGAGAATTCAATCAAACACGATATGATTACAATTATAATTTAAAGTTCAAAGGACTAAATATGCCGAAGCATTTGTATCTTTTAAATTCGGACTTGTATTGCCCATTTGGTGCAAAATTAATTTGAAATCGGATTAAAAATAGCTATATCCACATCGGAACCGCTGTCGATAAAATTAGGCAAAAATATTTCTGAGCTGTATTTGATATATTTCCCTGAATATCGTTGTTACGGAGTGCATATTACGGCTATGGGTAACAAATATAACAAATCGAATGAACAGTATATATGGGAGCTATAGCTATATCTGAACCGATCTCCACCAAATTTGGCATACTAGCTTCTAGACTAAATTCGGTCGTATGTGCCAAATTCCATCCCATTTGGACAAATATTAGACGTTTGGTGCACAATAAATGGTAAATCGGACGAAGTTATATATGGGAGCTATATCCAAATCTGAACCGATCTCGATAAAATTTAGCAAATGTATTTCTGAGCTGTATTTGATATATTTTCACAAATATTGTTGTTACAGAGTGCATATTACGGCTGCGGAGGACAAAAATAACAAATCGGATTAACAATATATATGGGAGCTATAGCTATATCTGAACCGATTCCGATCAAATTTGGCATACTTATTTTCAGGCCTAACTTGGTCGTACGTGCGAAATTTCATACTATTCGGACTGATATTACACGTTTGGTGCACAAAAAAAGGCAAATCGGACGAAGATATATATGGGAGCTATATCTAAATTTAGACCGATTATCTCCAATTTCAATAGTGTTCGTCCTTTGGCCAAACAAATCACTTGTGCAAAATTTCATCTGGATAGGGCAATAAATGCGAACTGTATGTACTTTGTTTACAAAAATACATGGACAGACGGACGGACATGCATAAATCGACTCAGAATGTGATTCTATGCAGATCATCAAAAGGAACTATGGGTCTATCTCGTTTCCTTTTGCCTGTTACAAACAAATGCACAAAGACATAATACCCTGACCACCTTGTGGTGTAGGGTATAAAAAGTTCCACGCCAAAAAAAAATGTATGGCCAAGACCAATGCAATAACTAAAATCAGGGGGAATGATAATTTTTAGAAAATGTTAAAATATGCGTGAGATAGCAGATATAGTCGACCGAATAAGTCCATGTGAGCTTCTCAAGTTATGATAACTCCTAAAGTTTAACTGCTTAAACAGACTATGAAAAAATACCTTCTTTTCCACCCCAACTTACCTGTTGCCTCTTCCCGACAATCATCATCTGACCATTCCGATTGACTCTCCAAATGATTCGAGTCCATCGATTGATGATTATGATGACCGGCACCATATTTGAGCTCATCATTTATCACATTCGTTTCCAGTGAATCCAAACGGTGATCGTGATAATTGCCGCTGTTTGCACCAGCGCCGCCGCCGCCACCACCATTTAGCAAACCTATATCCCTGTTGTCAACTCCACCGCCGCCGACCAGTGCCTCTTCGGGACCACACTCATGATCTTCGTCGTCGTCGTCGTCGTCATCATCATCATCTTCCAACCCCTCCCTACCTCTGCAACCATCATCATCATCATCCTCGTCATCACTGCGATAATGATTTACCAATTCCGTGGGTGGCAACAGGCGTTTCTTTCGCACATCGCGACCCACTTCATCATCTTCGAATTCTTCATCGGCCAAATTATCTTCGGTATCATCGCGCTCATCATCCTGATCGTGATTGTTGACCAAATGATGATGATTGTTTCGGGTGGGACGTGAATGATGATTATTATGATTGTGATGATGATGATGGTGGTGGTGATGATGATGATGCCGATTATAACGACCATTCGACTTTGATTCGCCCGCCTCCTGCAGCTGATCGAGACTTTCGTGACTCTGATCATAGTCTTTGGAACGTGGCCGTACTCTGTGACGATGATTGTGTTCTTTGGTGGATGCCTGCGACGATGACTGTTGCAAGTGGTGGCCCTGTGCTGGTGGCAGAGGTGCCGTCTGCTGAGGAAAATTGTTGTAGTTTGTACCATTGGTTGAGGTCGAGGATTTATTGGTCATGCTGTTGTGATGGTGGTCCATCATGGCCAGATTCAATTGATTACGGGTCTCGTGTAAAATTTCACACGACTCCGTGTCCGATGTTTGCCTATAACAAGAAGAAGGGGTTGGAGGGGAATGATTGCGGAAAATAAATTCTCCAATATCTCGTCACTACTTACATTTGACTGGATTCTGAGGGATTCTTGTTGCGGGTTATTTCCTTGATAGCCTCTAGACCCACAGGATGTTTGGCAATCATAAAGCTTGTACTAACAGGTATCTTGGAGCCCTGCCTGTGTCCACTGGTGGGTGAGTTTAGCTCTTCCAACATTGTGACTGCCATGGCGGTGGTGACATTCTTCAGATTGTTGTTGCCACTGAGAGGTGTGCTGCCGCTTAAATTACCATTGCTGCCCAAGCTACCGCTGCCTCCAATACCGGCGGCCACATTTAAGCCATTGGAACTCAGTTTGCTGTTGCTGCCCGAATAGCTGATGTCAATGTTGTTGCGGCTACTGCTGTTGCTGGTCGTGTTGCCAGCCTCAACATTGCCCAAGGAACCAGAAGTGACATTGCCACCCGTCGACGAAGAGGCGGTGGCAGCTGCAGAATTGTGGTTATTTGCCAATCCCCTTGCCCTCGAAGATTCGTTTAGCAGTCTTTGCAATTCCCTCTCAAATGGTGACTTGGTGACATTCTGGTTGCCACTACTGCCCGATGTTGCCTGGGACATGTTTGCTGTCTTCTGACTCTGTGCCAAGGCCAAACGATCCTGATACTCGAAACTGTTACATGAATCTCCCTTATTTTGTGTGGTGGTGGTATATTGGCCCTGACTCTCAGTGGTGGAACTGACCTCAAAGTCCTTCAAGTTCGACATATCAATGACTGGTGAGGTCGGATCCACTTGTATATCGCATGGATATAGCCATTGAAGGGCATTGCTGCCATTGTTGCGATTGGCCATGTGATGACTATTGACTGCTGCTGCCGCTGCTCCTCCTGTTGCTATTAGACGGTGCGGCGAATCTTCTTCACCCTCACCCTCGGTGGTCTTGGAATAGCTCTCATCCGAAGAACTCATTGAGGGTGAATGTGGTCGGGAGCTGAGGTCGTCGGTGGAAGACATTTCACGACTCTCTTCCAGTTCGTTCGGTAGTTTCGGTAGTGGCTTCATGTAGGAGCGTAGAAGAGGGGTATTCTGTTTTAGACTCGTTGTTAATGTGGCAGGTTTGGGTGGTAGGGCTGGTAGAGGAGGCTGGGGCTGTTGGGAGTACAGAGGGTATTGTTGTGGTTGTTGTTGTTGCTGTTTCGATAGCGGTAGGGGTGGTTGTGGCTGCTGCTGGGCTTGGTATTGTTGGAGTTGGTGTTGGATCTGTTGCTGTTGTTGTTGTACAAATACATTATTGGGGCACATATAACGAGGCGGTTCATATTTAGTGGGTGTGTGATGCATTTGTTGTTGTTGTTGTTGCTGATGATGCTGCATTGACATTATCTGGATGTTGTTTTAGTTTGTGTGGGGTGGATGGTTAACACACAGAGTTTGTTTGTTGATTGCCAAAGCAGCAAAGCAGTTGCAAGTCACATACACACACACGCAGACATAGAGACACAGACACAACATTTATTGTGTGGAGACAGACAGAGAGAGATGGATGGATGGAGATAAATGGGGAAACATCGTTTACGTTTCAGCGTTTCATGTGGTCAGCATGCAAATGATGAATGGATGTTTTGGTATGGATGGATTCGAACATTATCGATCGTTATAGGTTATTTACGAACAAGAAAAGAGAACATAGAAAACAAAATGGAACATTAAAAAAATTATTTACAAATTAAATGTATAAAAAACCTTCACCATTTCAAATTAAATACTTTTTCTTTTGACACGAGGTTATGAGATCATTAGTTTGAGTAAAATATAGGATGCAACTAAGATAGAGGTCAAGGAAAGTGGGGTAAAATATACGAGGAGGAAAGAGGGGAAAAATGCAATATATTCTAAGAGAAAAAATTGTAGAGATACATGTGGTAGACTCTATTGGACTTGAAGAGTTTTCATTTGTGGGACACTACAAGGGGTCTTTATAAAAACTATTTGGGAAGAGTGCAATTAAAATGTGAAAATTTTAAGGGGTAATAGTGAGCTTTTTTCGGAGAACTCTTAGAAGTTGCTCATACCTTAAACAATATTTGACTTTCATTGATGTCACCGTGAAATACATTTCTCACTGATCTCTGTATAAATCCTATAGGTACATAACACTATAATATTTACGAAACCGAACTGATATCTGTTAAGTACGATGTTTACAAATATCTAAAATACCAGTAAGGAAAAGTTAAAAGCCGGGCGAGGCCGACTGTATGATACCCTACACCACTATGTATATAGTAGAGCTCCCGTAACAAAAGAATTTTTTGAAGTAGGTCATACCACCTATCAACTTTTGGCTTTAGAGCAGTTTTAGTTTTGTTTCAAAGGGAACTAATATATGGGAGGCATATCCAATTTTGATTCCATTTTCACTACATTTGACGGAGACATTTTAATCATTTACATCAAATAACATTGCTATAGAGTGCATGATATCACTTCGAGAAGTATTATATAAAAACCAGTAAAGAGAGTCTTAAAGTCGGGCGTGGACGACTTTATGATACCCTACACCACTTTGCTAATTTAGTAGAGCTCCGCATAACAATTAAAAGTTTTTATAGGAGAATTCAATCATACACGCTATGATTATAATTATAATTTAAATTATAATTAAAAGACATGTAGTGCCCATTTGGTGCACAATTAATTTGAAATCGGATAAAGATATATATATATAGGGGCTATATCCAAATCGGAACCGATCTTGATTAAATTTGGCAAAGATATTTCTGAGCTGTATTTGATATGTTTCCCTGAATATCGTTGTTACGGAGTGCATATTACGGCTGCGGAGGACAAAAATAACATATCGGATGAAAAATATATATGGGAGCTATAGCTATATCTGAACCGATATTTACGAAATTTGACATACTAGCTTCTAGACTCAATTCGGTCGTATGTGCCAAATTCCATCCGATTTGGACAAATATTAGACGTTTGGTGCACAATAAAAAGTAAATCGGACGAAGTTATATATTGGAGCTATACTCAGATTTGGACCGATCTCGATAAAATTTATCAAATGTATTTCTGAATTGTATTTGATATATTTCCCCAAATATTGTTATTACAGAGTGAATATTATGGCTGCGGAGGACAAAAATAACAAATCGGATGAACAATATATATGGGAGCTATAGCTATATCTGAACCGATTTCGATCAAATTTGGCATACATATTTTCAGGCCTAATTTGGGTGCATATGCAAAATTCCATACAATTCTGGCTGATATTACACGTTTGGTGCACAATAAAAGGCAAATCGGACGAAGATATATATGGGAGCTATATCTAAATTTTGACCGATTATCTCCAATTTCAATAGGGTTTGTCCTTTAAGCCAAATAAATGATCTGTGCAAAATTTCATCTGGATCGGGTAATAAATGCGGACTGTACTTTGCTTACAAAAATACATGGACACACGAACAGACGGACGGACATGCATAAATCGACTCAGAATGTGATTCTATGCAGATCATCAAAAGGAACTATGGGAGATGTGGCTATACCTGAACCGATTTTCTCCGAATTCGATGTACTAGCTTCGAGACTGAATGCGGTTGGATGTACCAAAACTCAGGTCATTTGGACTGATATTGGCCATTTGATGCACAATTAACCAGAAATCGGTTAAATGTATATGGGAGCTGCATGTAAATCTGATCCGATTATTACCAATTTCAATAGGGTTCGTCCTTGGGCCAAACAAATATTGTTTGGAAAATTTCATCTCAATCGGATAATAAATGTGATCTACATTTGGTTCAATCAATCCATCGACTCAAAAAATGATTATATGAAGATCCTGAAAAGTAATTATGGGTCTATCGCGCTTCCTTCTCCATGTTACAAACAAATGCACAGAGCCCTAATACCCTTACCACCATGTGGTGTAGGGTATAAAAAATAAAATATTACCAAATTCGGCAATTCTTATTACCGAAGATCTATCAAAACATGATGTGTCATATTTGAACTATATTGGGTTCTCCCTTCCCAGCAAAAGTGATTTTTATACCCTTCACCATACATAGTATGGAGGGTATATTAAGTTCGTCTTTCCGTTTGTAACTCATCGAAATAATAATTTAAATTTTGCACAGATCTGTCTTTTGTATGCAGGCAGGTCAAGTTCGAAGGTTGGGCATATCGGTCCACGATATCGTATACCACCGATATTCGGTATTGTATGATTTTAGCCAATTTTTTGTTTGTTTTACAATCCACAAAAGGAGTTCCAGGTCCCCGATATCATACATCCTCTATATAAGGGTACCTCCCGATATTCGGTATTTTGATGATTTTTGCCACATTTTTCAACGAAATTGTCTACAAATCCTTACAAGGAGTTCCTTGTAAGTACTTTATTTTCAAGAAGAGAATTGTCTATACACGTCCACGATATCGTTTACTCCCCATATAACGGTACCCCCCGATATTCGGTATTTTGATGTTTTCGGCCAAATTTTTTTTATGGAATTGCCTTTAAATTCACACAAGGGGTTCCTTCTGAGTACTTTACTCCCTAGAAGAGCATTGTCTAGATAGGTCCACGTTTTAGTATAGCGCCCATATAACGATACCCCCAGATATTCGATGATTTCATTATTTTTGCGATATTATTCACCGGAATTGTTACAAATTTAGTATATAAAGTTCGGAACCATTACTACAGCCTATGACACAAATAACTTACGCAGGACCACGTCTTCGTATAGCCCCCACATAACGGTTTTCATTTGGATTTTTTTTTTTTTTATTTTTCATGTTTCTTCAGCCTATGACACAAATAACTTACGCAGGACCACGTCTTCGTATAGCCCCCACATAACGGTTTTCATTTGGATTTTTTTTTTTTGAAATTTTTCAAATTTTTTCCAAATAGTGGAGAATATAAAAAGTTCGGCCTGACCGAACTTAGCTACTTTTTTACTTATTTTTATTGTAAAATTTTGAGTGAAAAGGGTACAAGTACGGTAAAAACATTACGATATTTCAATTTTGAACCAAATCGCATACTCCCATCGAGAGTTATCGAGCGCACACACAGACAGAGGATGGACAAAGCTAGATTTAATTCCAAATGTACTGAAATTAATTTCGCCCAAAGAGACCTAGGATGTAATATTTTTATTTCGATGGGGTCTCATTACATAGCCTCTGTAGCCAACGACATCTAGGTCGATTTCAGGGACTAAAAGAATACAACATGGATGGATGGACAAAAAAATTCCCATATTGATTTTCCTCTCTGAAACATTGAATAATGTGGATCCGAGACCAACAAACTTTAGAAGACGGGAATATAAAATACAATTTAAAACCAGTAAAGAAAGTCTTAAAGTCGGGCGGGGCCGACTTTATGATACCCTACACCACTTTGCTAATTTAGTAGAGCTCCGCATAAAAATTAAAAGTTCATATACGCTATGATTATAATTTAAGGTTCAAAAGACTGAATATGCCGAAGCATTTGCATCTTTCAAATTCGGAATTGTATTACCCATTTGGTGCACAATTAATTTGAAATCGGATAAAGATACATATGGGAGCTATATCCAAATCGGAACCGATCTCGATAAAATTTGGCAAAGATATTTCTGAACTGTATTTGATACATTTCCCTGAATACCGTTGTTAGGGAGTGCATAATACGGCTGTGAGTAACAAATACAAAAAATCCGATGAACAATATATATGGGAGCTATAGCTATTTCTGAACCGATCTTCACCAAATTTAGCATACCAGCGTCTAGACTCAATCGTTCGTATGTGCCAAATTCCATCCCATTTGGACAAATATTAGAGGTTTGGTGCACAATACAAAGTAAATCGGACGAAGTTATATATGGGAGCTATATCCAAATCTGAACCGAACTCGATAAAATTTAGCAAATGTATTTCTGAGCTGTACAGGGTTGCCCATATTCGACGGACCCATCTGGCAACGCCATAACTTTTGACAGAGATGTCACATCGCTTAATGACATACCGCGTTTGAAACGTCAGTCCAAGCAGATTTTTACCATGAACCAATACAGGCCACGCCAGCGCTCTGAAATAGTTGAAATTTACAAGAAGTCAATTGTGAAAACTCAACGTGCTTTTAAAACATTAAAAACTGTGAGAAGTGCGCCTTCTAAGAACACCATTTTCGATTGGTAAGGCTCTTTCTAATCCGAAGAGGCCATATAAAAGTCGACCAAAGCGATCGGCCGAGAATATCGCTGCTGTACGAGCCAGTGTTGAGAGGTCCCCAAGAACATCCAAAAAACGCCGTTCTCAGCAGTTGGGCATGGCTCGGTCCACTTTACAACGGATTATTCGCATTCATTTGCATTTGTTGCGGTACAAAATTCAATTGACGCAAAGAATGTTGCGGACAAGCCTCGTCGATTGGAATGGGCCCAAAGGTCCGTCGAATATGGGCAACCCTGTATTTGATATATTTCCCACAATATTGTTGTTACAGATTGCATATTACGGCTGCGGAGGACAAAAATAACAAATCGGATGAACAATATATATGGGAGCTATAGCTATATCTGATCCGATTTCGATAAAATTTGGCATACTTATTTTCAGGTCCAATCTGATCGTACGTGCAAAATTCCATACCATTCGGCCTGATATTACACGTTTGATACACAATAAAAGGCAAATCGGACGAAGATATATATGGGAGGTATATCTAAATTTTGACCGATTATCTCCAATTTCAATACGGTTCGTCCTTAGGCCAAACAAATGATTTGTGCAAAATTTCATCTGTATAGCGCAATAAATGCGAGCTGTACTTTGTTTACAAAAATACATGGACAGATGGACGGATATGCATAAATCGACTCAGAATGTGATTCTATGTATATCATCAAAAGGAACTATGGGTCTATCTCGTTTCCTTTTTCCTGTTACAAACAAATGCACAAAGACATAATACCCTGACCACCTTGTGGTGTAGGGTATTAAGATTATGTGTACATATATGGAAGAGATCCCACCTCTCCTGACTAAGGCAACAGTGTACGTCAAAGGATGGGTCAGTAAATTCAAAGAATTTCGATTTCCAAGCGAGAAATATGGAAGTGAAATGAGGGGTAAGGTGATGCGACACACTTTACGCTATGTCTAGACAATATCTTCGCGGTCAGTTTGATAAAGACTAAGGAAAATGCCATTTGTATGGGAGTTCCTTCAAATGTGTTATACTTTTGACATGGTGTGTGAGTTTAAATACTACGAGAGAGCTAATATAAAATCCACAACTACTTAAACAAAATAAGCATATGACCCTAGTTTACTTTAAATAAAAAAAAATCGATATATAAACAAGCTGGTGGGATAATTCGACTATTAGGAACTATTTTTACCATCACCGGTGAGAGGGTTATTACTTTGGCATTCAAATTCGTGTGTAAAGGTTAGTAAATTTTGTCTAAATGCTTGACCAAAACCTATTTTTAAAATGATGTGAATTTCTTTCATTCATTTCCATAGCCAATTGCAATGTGAGAGTGGGTGCTCAGTGTTGGAGATAACTACAGGAAGATTAACTACTATGTACTAACAATTTACTACTTGAGAGTGGATTTTCATAACAGATATTCTTCAGTGCCTGGGTGGTAATCATCACTACAATCGTCTTCATTATCATTATCTTCATAATTATCATCATCATGATCGTGATGATGATGATGATGATGAGGTTCTTCCGAGTCTGTATCGGAATCATCTATATAAGAACAACTCACCTTGGCCACTTGGGTGGCATGCAACAACGGTTCACTTTCGCGACAATTATTATAGTTCAGATAGTGACTATCGGAATTGTTGTAGCCATTTTGATTATTGAAATTGTTTTTGTTATTGTAATGAAATTGGTTAGAAGTAGGTGGAGGAGGAGTAGGCATTTGATGATGATTATTCGAGTTACTGTTACTGTTGTTTTGGTGAAGATGATGCTGGTGTTGTTGTTGTTGTTGCTGTTGTTGTTGATACAAATAATGATGATAGTTGGATGCTGATGCTTGCGGAGGATGTTGCGAAGAGGAGGAGGAGGACGATACATGCAGATCACGCATATCGCGTTTACCATTACCAGCTGACGCCGCCGCCGCCGACGCACCATACATAAGATTATTGAAATTCTCCAGCGGAGCATAGGGATCATGCTGTTGTAGCTGATGATTGTTTGTGTGTGAGAGAGTAGGAGTAGGATTATTAATATAATTATTGAATAGATGACGATTATTGCTAGGATTTTCAATAATATTAAATTGTTCACGGAACATTACCGAAGAAGATGATGTGGGGGCCAGAGGACCTGCTGTGGCTGTGGCAGGTTGTGCACTTGATGATGACAGTGATGTTTGGTGGTGGTTATGGTTGAGGTTATGTTGTTGCTGTTGTTGTTGTTGTTGTAGGTAGGCATTGGAATTGGCCAAAATGGATGACGATGATGAATTCGGTAATGGTGGTAGAGGCGGATGTTGATTAGGTGGTAGGGAATTAGGATTTAAACCCATGCTGCTCATAGAGCTAGACGAATGATTACGTTGATGTTGTTGCTGCTGCTGCTGATATCCATTGTTCCCAACGCCATTGGTGTAACCGCCGTTGCCATGCAGCTCCTCATTGCCATTATGCCCATTCTCATGGATATTGGGCAAGCCGCCATTGGCTAAAAATGGTTGTTTTTGTAATTTACTGTTCATTCGCTGTTGTTGTTGCTGGGCCAAATGATGCTGATGATGTTGGGGCTGCATGTGTTGCAGTAACAGCTGTTGTTCCTCATTGGAGTTTTTCATTAGCAAATTATTGGTGTTGTTGAGGGCGTTGACAGGATCCGTTTGATCCATATAGCCATATGTATCCTTCTTGACATTATATGTTTCCGAATTCATGTTCAAGTGGTAGCTATTATCCTGCGATTGTTTCTGATAATAGTCGGTTGCCTGTAACTGGGTCTGGGGTGCCGGACCACCGCCAAAGGCCGTGTTTGTAAGGGCACGATTGCCCAGCATGGCATTGCGCACCTCTCCATTCAAGGCATTACTGCTGTTGTCATTCAGGAAATAGGTGATCATATCACCCTTACCCTTGACCTTAATTGTGCCGCGGCATCTAAACGGAAAACAATTTAATGCGTGTTATTTTTTTAGTTCAAAAAAAGTCCAGCTTACTTGAATTCGAAATGGGAGCCTTGTAGGCTGTCCACAACTTCTTGTGTGACTTGGGTATAGCCCGGTATACCGGTCGAGTCCATGCGACTGGCCACATTCACTGTATTGCCCCAGATGTCATATTGGGGTTTGCGGGCGCCAATGACACCAGCTACTACAGGGCCAATGTTGATACCTTGAAAAATGGAGAGTTTTAGTAATTGTATAATTTTAATTTAGTAGAGAGAGAGAGAGAGAGAGTAAAAGCGGTATAAATAAAAAGAGAGAGACATACCAACTCTTAACATAAAATTATTATAGGAATGACTGTTAATCTCTTGCAGAGATAAACGCATTGCCTTAACATATTCCACAAGAGCGGTCATATGGCGTCGCACAGAATTCTGGTCATTGGGATTGATTTTGTATTCTGAGAAATAGAAAGAAAAAATTAATCATTAATATCGATTTAAAAATTTTTCATATTTTTATAATTACCCGGTATTAAGCCCACCACAGCCATGTAAGTACTGCCAACAGTTTTGATTTTATCAATGCCCAGAAAACGTTCTTCTTTCAATAGCTGAAATGTACAATTATTGGGAAATTTTTATTAATATTGGAAACCAGAATCAGGAGAATGCCTCTTACCTCATCAAAATCGGCTATAATTTCATTTAACAAACGCAAGCATTCCAAGCCCTGATCCGAACCATCCATTTCAGTGTAGAACTCATGGAAGTTCGGTACACTGGCAAATATGACACCCACCTTGGCATAGCTTTGATGATACAGTTCCTGTGAAGAAAGAAAGCAAAAAGTAAGGAATAACCAGTAGCGAAAGGTCAAAAGTCGGGCGGGGCCGACTATATGGTACCCTACACCACTATGCGTATTTAGCAGAGCTCCTGTAACAAAAAAGTTTATATTGGGAATTCATGTGAAGTACATCATACCAACTATGATCCAAATTACATTGATGTATATTGCATGATATGACTTCGATTGGATGAAGATGTATATCGAAGTTACATAAAATACCAACTATGGACCATATTTAAATACAAATCATGACTTTGGAGTAGTCATAATTTTGGAACTATATCCAACTCTGAATAGATTTTTAACAAATTTGACAGAGGTTATTGTACTTCTTATATGACTTCAATAAGGATAATATTAAATCAGTAAAGAAAGTCCTAAAGTCGGGCGGGGCCGATTTTATGATACCCTACACCACTTTGATAATTTAGTAGAGCTCCTCATAACAATTAAAAGTTTTTATGGGAGAATTAAATCATACACGCTATTATTATAATTATAATTTACAGTTCAAAGGACTAAATATGCCGAAGCATTTGTATCTTTTAAATTCGGACTTTTATTGCCCATTTGGTGCAAAATTAACTTAAAATCAGTTAAAGATATATATGGGAACTATATCCAAATCTGAACCGATCTCGACAAAATTTGGCAAAGATATTTCTAAGCTGTACTTGATATATTTCCTTAATATCGTTGTTACGGAGTGCATATTACGGCTGTGGGTAACAAATATAACAAATCGGATGAACTGTTTATATGGGAGCTATAGCTATATCTGAACCGATCTTCATCCAAATTTGGCATACTACCTTCTAGACTCAATTCGGTCGTATGTGCCAAATTCCATCCCATTTGGGCAAATATTAGACGTTTGGTGCTCAATAAAAGGTAAATCGGACGAAGTTATATATGGGAGCTATATCCAAATCTGAACCGATCTCGATAAAATTTAGCAAAGGTATTTCTTAGCTGCATTTGATATATTTCCCCATATATTGTTGTTACAGAGTGCATATTACGGCTGCGGAGGACAAAAATAACAAATCGGATGAACACTATATATGGGAGCTATAGCTATATCTGAACCGATATCGAAATTTGGCATACTTATTTTCAGGCCTAATTTGGTTGTATGTGCAAAATTCCATACTATTCGGGCTGATATTACACGTTTGGTGCACAATAAAAAGCAAATCGGACGATTATCTCCAATTTGAATAGGGTTCGTCATTGGGCCAAACAAATGATCTGTGCAAAATTTCATCTCAATCGGATAATAAATGCGACCTGCATTTTGTTCACAAGAATACATGGACAGACGGGCGGACGGACGGACGGACGGTCGGACAGACGGACTGACATGCATAAATCAACTCAGAAAGTAATTCTATGCAGATCATCAAAAGGAACTATGGGTCTATCTCGTTTCCTTTTGCCTGTTACAAACAAATGCACAAAGACATAATACCCTGACCACCTTGTGGTGTAGGGTATAAAAATGTTTGTTAGAGCAATAGAATAGTGTTGGCATGTTTGTTCGGGATACCGTAATATTCTGTGGTTGCAAAATAGTCAGACTTTGTCCCATTATTGTTGTTTTTTGATAAAAACAACGGACAGAGATTCACCAAGCCGAAAAGTTCGGTTGAATATGAAAAATCTATTCTGAGCAACAACCGTAAAATCGGATGAAAACGTATATCGAAGCTATATAAAAATCTGAACCGATCTCCATAAAATTTGGCAGAATAACTTTCAAGCTGTGCCTGATGACCGGTATCAAATCTAATTGCTGTGGAGGGCATATTACGCATGTGAGGGGCTTTAACACCGAATTGGGTGAAACATATATGTGGATGCTGCAGCTATATCTGAACCTATTTTCACCAAAATTTGAAGGACTTGCTTCTGAAGTAAGTTCCGTTGTAAGTGTCAAAATTCAGTCGGAAATGCCAACATCCAGTGCATTTGGGATGATATTAGCCATTTGGGGCACAAAAAACCTGAAAACGGATAAAAATATATATGGAAGCTATATCCAAATCAGAACCGATCTTGATAAAATTTTAAACACTTATTTCTGAGCTGTAGCTGACATCTGGAACCAAGGATTTTTGTTGGAGAGTGCATATTATGCATGTGAGGGACTTTAACAACAAATCGGAAAAAACATATATAGCAGCTATGGTTATATCTTAACCGATTTCCACAAAATTTGAAGTACTCGTTTCTAAGATTAACTCAGTCGGAATTGCCAAGACTCAGTTTATTTGGGCTGCTATATCCCAATCTGATCCAATTTCGATAAAATTTGACAGATGTAATTATGAGCTCCATAAGTTATTTGGCACCAAAAGATCATTGTTGTGGAGTGCACATTATGCATTTGAGGTATTAAAAACCCCAAATCGGATGAAACATCTATATCTGAACCGGGTTTCTACAAATTTAAATTACATATTTCTAGGAAGTATTCAGTCGGAATTGCCAAAATTCAAGTCATTTGGAATGATATTGGCTATTTGGTACACAATTAACCGGAAATCGGTTGAAGATATATTTGGGAGCTATATCTAAATTTAAACCGATTCTCACCAATTTCAATAGGGTTCGTCCTTGAGCCAAACCAAAAATTCCATCTCAATCGGATAATTTCAGATTTTTTTTTACCCTTTGTGGGGGAGGTATTTGATGGAATGGACCGATGATGTCTATTTTGACTTAGTACTGATGCAAATATTAGGATTAGCAAAGTTGGAGCAAAATCGGATTATCCTTTCTCTTTCTGTGCAATAAAATATTTTTTGAAAAATTTCAAAATTTTGTGGGGGAAAGTACCAGAAGGACTGAACCGATATTGTTTAGCAATAATATTGCGAAGTCGCAAGTTTGATAGTCGTCTGCTCTAAAACCGTTAAAACGATAAGTTAGGCTAGGCCAACCTTTTTATCCTCTATCATTTAAAACTTCGATTTATGACCAGATCGGCATCGTCATAAAATTTAGAAGTTCCGTTATATGGGGACTACTGAAAAAAATATGAAAATTACTGAAAATCCTGTTGTGCCATAATATACGTACAATACTAAAACCAGTAAAGAAAGTCTTAAAGTCTGGCGGGGCCGACTTTATGATACCCTACACCACTTTGCTAATTAAGTAGAGCTCCGCATAACAATTAAATGTTTTAATGGGAGAATTCAACATACACGCTATGATTATAATTATAATTTAAAGTTCAAAGACTGAATATGCCGAAGCATTTGTATCTTTTAAATTCGGACTTGTATTACCCATTTGGTGCACAATTAATTTGAAATCGGATAAAAATATATATGGGAGCTATATCCAAATCTGAACCGATCTCGATAAAAATTGGCAAATATATTTCTGAGCTGTATTTGATATATTTCCCTGAATATCCTTGTTACGAAGTGCATAATACGGCTGTGGGTAACAAATACAACAAATCGAATAAATAATATATATGGGATCTATAGCTATATCTGAACCGATCTTCACAAAATTTGGCGTACTAGCTTCTAGACTCAATTCGGTCGTATGTGCCAAATTCCATCCCATTTGGACAAATATTAGACGCTTGGTGCACAATAAAAGGTAAATCGGACGAAGTTATATATGGGAGCTATATCCAAATATGAACCGATCTCGATAAAATTTAGCAAATGTATTTCTGAGCTGTATTTGATATATTTCCCAAAATATTGTTGTTACGGATTGCATATTACGGCTGCGGAGGACAAAAATAACAAATCGGAGGAAAAATATATATGGGAGCTATAGCTATATCTGAACCGATTTCGATAAAATTTGGCATACTCATTTTCAGGTCCAATCTGATCATACGTGCAAAATTCCATACCATTCGGTCTGATATTACACGTTTGATGTACAATAAAAGGCAAATCGGACGAAGATATATATGGGAGGTATATATAAATTTTGACCGATTATCTCCAATTTCAATAGGGTTCGTCCTTGGGTCAAACAAATGATTTTTGCAAAATTTCATCTGGATAGGAGAATAAATGCGAGCTGTACTTTGTTTACAAAAATACATGGACAGACGGACAGACGGACGGACGGACATGCATAAATCGACTCAGAATGTGATTCTATGCAGATCATCAAAAGTAACTATGGGTCTATCTCGTTTCCTTTTGACTGTTACAAACAAATGCACAAAGACATAATACCCTGACCACCTTGTGGTGTAGGGTATAATGACCACCTTGTGGTGTAGGGTATAAATATCCCTCTTTTTCTCACCCATAAGCGAGACTTACTCTAAATCCAGTGTTCTATCTCTTTACGATGGCAATTTTGTAACTTTTTGTACATTTCGTACTAATTTCTTTTAGATTTTTTTTCATTTCAAATTCCAAGTTCTTACCATATTACTGCGAAATTGATTATCCAAAAAGTGGGCTGCCACATGGGCTGGCAGCAGGTTGTGTAATATCCTTTTATTCGATTCCTGTAGCACATCCATCTCCTTTTTCTCCTGTGATGCCTGCAACTGCCAGAGAAAATCTAATCTGGCTGTCCACTCAACCAAACGACCATGGACAAGGATGGCAATCATAAAGATGATAATACGGGCCAATGATATCAAATGAAGTGGAATTGCAGCACTACAAGGATAACAGAGAGAGAGAGAGAGAGAGAGAGACAACGAAAAAACAGGACATTTTGTGAACAACAAATAAATGCTACAGTTAATGTGTCCTTAAAACTTAAAATACATTTCTTTTGAATCTAAAACAAAACCAACAACAAAAAATGTATAATTCCTCATGACACACTTACTTGACACGGCTGTCATAACAGTCAAAGATATTCGTATGGGAGAGTTCAATAAATAGACAATAGACGACACCCATTGTGACCACCAGCAGAGATTTAAATATTATGGGCAGTCTGAAAATAGAAGGAAAGCATAACAATGAGGGTGTGTGTGGGTGTGTGTGGGTGTGTGTGAGTGACAGTGTTAATTTATTAATAGTTTAAAGGTCATTTGTGGAAGGCCATTCGACCGTTTGTCCATACCTTAAAAATACCGACACTGAGAGGAAAGCAAATGTGGCCGATAACGAAACATATTGTGGCAGCGAACATTTGCGATGGGCATCATTTTGATGTATCAACATCAGAAGGTCTTCTTCCATGGTGGGTGTTGTGGTGGTCACATTGCTGGAACAGGGATGATCCGATACACAAGTAAACTGGAAAACAAAACACCAATACATTAACACTTTTTTATCAAATTATTGAAAAAATGCTCACACTTACCACATTCACCTGGCCGACGGAATAGATCAAAATCACCGTGAATATGGTGATGGCCATGCGCAGCGTAAAACTCTGTGACAAATCCCAAACAATCCATTTCAAACGTACGGCCAGCAACAACATCAATATGGCACTGACCCATACGAAAGCGGTTAGGAAAAGTAACAACAATATCAAGGTCCTTGGCAAAGCAGTCACCTGCAGTGCTGCGCCCAATATCAACAGCAGCAGTGAACAGCCCATGGCGGTGGTAAAGCCCAAGTCGAAATCTTTGCGATATTCACGTTCTTTGTCGCTTTCGCGAAAACGCAAAGTGATACGATCGACATGTTCCGATTTGTCGCAGTCCACCGAACGGGCATTGATTGCTTGTGATAGGAATCGATTAACACGATTTGTCGGCTGATGATGGACCGAGGAGTGACGCTTGCGAAAGGGTCGTTTGAATTTGTCCGTAACTTTTGACTAATTGGTTGGGGTTTGAAGTGGCGTAGGGGGGAGGGGTTTGTTTTCAATTGAAATGAAAAGTTTGGATGCATTTTTTTGGTTTGGGGATGGAAAGACAAAAAGAGAGAACAAGAACGAGAACGAGAGAGAGAGAGAGACAAAGAGTAAGAAAATATGGGAGAAACAAAATTAATGTTTTGTAAAAAAATGGAAATGGTTAAAAATAAAGAAACGAAAACAGAAAATAAAATAGAAAAATTCATTAGAAAAACATTGTTTTTGTTAAAAATTTAAAAAAAAAACAACAACTTCAAACTTTACATCCATAACTCAGGAAATAAAATGAACTTCAATTGATAACATCTCCATGTAAAAATATGACAAAAAAGGATTCTAACAAGGACACTTCTATGAATCTACTAACTAAAATTGGAAAATTTACTTAAGTGAAATAAAAGATTTACGACAATAGCATATCGGGTCGATATACATACATATATCATATCGGGTAGCTTTACATTTTTACATGGAGATGTATGAAAGCGTAGACCAAAAGTTAAACATTTTTCATAAAAAAAATTTGAGGTAATCTATAATGCGACAAAGACATATTTACTAAATATCTTCTGTCTTTTTAAAATTCAATTTCTTTTATGAAAATATTTAACCTGTGGCCTCGGATATAGGAAACAAATAAAATATTACAAAATGTTGGTTGTTAGTACAATAAAATATAACATGCATTTAACTAAGTTATATTCATACTCAGACAACACCAATGGCGGTAAATATACATATGCACATCAACTAAAATCAATATCAATTTTTTTTTTTTGTGAATACAAACCCAAAACTTTAATGAACGAAACATGCACATTTGATTACAAAAACAGCTTAACTTCAATAAAAAATAACAGCATGCTTTTTCGGAACTGAAGTTTTATAAAAGAAAAAAATAAACTGGAAACAGTTGTAACACTGCATTGGGAGGCCAGGGCAATTTTTGTTTACTATTTTTAAACTTTGAAATCAATATTGACTTAATGCCGAAATATGCTTTAACATTGACTCTTCACAACACAGTACATACATACCCTTTTTTATACCCTCCACCAATTGGTAAATAACTCATGAAAAAATATGTCTGTTAATGCCGAAATTCCTGTATTCAAGGGGTAGGGGGCGCTTTTGTCATTAGGAACATACAATTCAAATTTTTAATAATTCTATAAAGAAGTTAGGAAATATCGGTTATGCCGCCAGCTAATGTTCGATTATTTGAAATATATTTCACTTCTGTTATGATTATGAAAGTTTGACCCTCTCTGGAGTAGGTTTCGAAGGAATGGGCCAATATTGTCCATTTCGTATCGGACCTAAATATACAGGGTTACCCATATTTGACGGACCCATCTGGCAACGCCATAACTTTTGACAGAGATGTTACATCGCTTAATGACATACCGCGTTTGAAGCGTCAATCCAAGCAGACCATGAACCAATACACGCCACGCGAGCGCTCTGAAATAGTTGAAATTTACATTCAACAGAAGAAGTCAATTGTGAAAACTCAACGTGCTTTTAAAACATTAAAAAAACGAGCCAGTGTTGAGAGGTCCCCAAGAACATCCCAAAAACACCGTTCTTAGCAGTTGGGCATGGCTCGGTCCAGTTTACAACGGATTATTCGCATTGATTTGCATTTGTTCCCGCACAAAATCCAATTGACGCAAAGAATGTTGCCTGCGGACAAGCCTCGTCGATTGGAATGGGCCCATGGGTCCGTCGAATATGGGCAACCCTGTATATGATATAAATATTGTGATATGCCAGGTTTTAACTATATCGACTACTTCCTTCACTTTATATAATATATGTGATAATTTTTAGAAAATGTTAAAAACACGACCGAAATATTCCATTTTGATACTATATCTAATACAGATAAAACCAGTAAAGAAAGGCTTAAAGTCGGGCGGGGCGACTTTAAGATACACTACACCACTTTGATAATTTAGTAGAGCTGTACATAAGAATTAAACATTTTTATGGGAGATTTCAATCATACACGCTTTGATTATAATTATAATTTAAAGTTCCAAGGACGAAATATGCCGAAGCATTTGCACCTTTTAAGTTTGGACTTGTATTGCCCATATGATATATAGGGGAGCTATATCCAAATCTGAACCGATCTTGATAAAATTTGGCAAAGGTATTTCTGAGCTGTATTTGATATATTTCCCTGAATATCGTTGTTACGGAGTGCAAATAACAGCTGTGGGTAACAAATATAACAAATCGGATGAACAATATATATTGGAGCTATAGCTATATCTGAACCAAACTTCACCAAATTTGACATACTAGCTTCTAGACTCAATTCGGTCGTAAGTGCCAAATTTCATCCCATTTGGGCAAATATTAGACGTTCGGTGCACAATAAAAGGTAAATCGGACGAAGTTATATATGGGAGATATATCCGAGCCAATCTCGATAAAACTTAGGTATTTCTGAGCTATATTTAATATATTTCCCCAAATATTGTCCTTACAGAGTGCATATTACGGCTGCGGAGGACTTAAATAGCAAATCGGATGAACAATATATATTGGAGCTATGTCTATATCTAAACCGATTTCGATCAAATTTGGCATACTTATTTTCGGGCTTAATTTGGTTGTATGTGCCAAATTCTATTCGGGCTGATATTACACGTTTGGTGCACAATAAAAGGCAAATCGGACGAAGATATATATGGGAGCTATATCTAAATTTTTACCGAATATCTCCAATTTCAATAGGTTTCGTCCTTGGGCCAAACAAATGATTTGTGCAAAATTTCATCTATACAAAAATATATGGACAGACGGACGGACGGACGGGCATGCATATATCAACTCATAATGTGATTCTATGCAGATCATCAAAAGGAACTATGGGTCTATCTCGTTTCCTTTTGCCTGTTACAAACAAATACACAAAGACGTAATACCCTGACAATCTTGTGGTGTAGGATATAAATATTCAAAAATTAAAAGAAAATCGGACATTTATATCCGATTTTATGCGAAATCATAAATTATATGTTTATCGCAGGTTTTTGGTTGAGAGAAATATTTAGATATAGCAGGTGGTAACATAATCGTTAACTTGTTTTACAAGTTATGACAGATGAAAATATTGAAAATATTGACCCTTTGTGGGTAAGGTATATATCATCTTCACAGCAGATTTTGCGTAAGCAAAAGTATTTTGCTGTGGGAAATTTCAAGAGAGTTGGATGCTTATTTCGCTTCGTATGAACGTTTAGTTTTTTTCAAAGTTTTGAACAATTTCTTGGGGAAGTTGACCCTTTGTGGGGGAGGTACCAGAATAAATGGAATCATTATAATAGATCTTGTGTTGATAGAAATATTGAGATATATCAAGTCTGAGTGGAATCGGATATTACTTTCAAGTTTTATGAGCTTCATGAATGTTCAAAATTTGTACTCTTTGTGGGGATGTACAAGAAGAAATGGTCCGATCTCCACAATCTTTATGGAAATATTGAGATGAACCAAGTCTGAACGGAATCGAATGTTAATTTCGATTTTCGTGAGTTTCATGGATATTCAAAATTTTGAGCATTTGTGGGTGAGGTACCAGATCTTCACAGCGATCTTGTGTTAGTGTTATTTGAAGATAGTTGTATGTTTTTTCGGGTTTTGTGATCGTTTTGAGTATTCAAAATTTTGACCCTTTGTGGGTGATGTACCAGAAGAAATTGTCCGATCTCCACAATCTTTATAGCAGATCATGCGTTGATGAAAATATTGAGATGTACCATGTCTGAACAGAATCGAATGTTAATAACGCTTTTCGTAAGATTAATGGATATCCAAAATTTTGAGCCTTTGTGGGTGAGGTACCAGAAGAAGTGGTCCAATCGCTACCATCTTTATAACAGATCTTGTGCGGAAAGAAATATTGAGATGTGCCAAGTCTGAATGGAATCGGATGTTGATTTTATGAGCTTCAAAGATATTCAAAATTTTGATCCTTTTTTGTGGGAGGTACCAGAAGGAGTGGACCGATATATTCCATTTTTACACCAGACCTTGGGATAATAAAAATATCGAGTCCTCTAATTTCACGACAATCGGACTCTTACATCGCATTTTATAAAATCAGACGTACCAAATATTAGGATTTGCAAAGTTGAAGCAAAATCGGATCATCCTTTCTCTTTCAGGGTAGCAAAATATTTTTTTGAAAAAATTTTGAAGACTTAGAGTCTGAAATCGTTATTTCGATGAGGCACATTTTGGTCGTACCAAATGAAATATACTCTCTTTAGCCATGTATCTGAGGGTATAAAAATGTGTCTAAAATCATGAAATTACCGAATATCGGGAAGATATTATGGAAAATCCTTCACTTATATACATACATTTTTCTTCGACAAGAGTAGAGATCCTCTTACGAAATCCAAATATCGAATTTTAAGTAATTTCGTTAGAGAATGTGGCTAAAGTCGGCAAAATACGAAATATCGGGGAATATTGTTATTAGACATTGTTAGACAATGTCCCGATATAGATTTTGTGCACCATCTAATGGTGAAAATATACACTTCATAGCAGCTGAGATTCTGACACCAGAGGGAGTAACCCAAAAAATCACACAATTGAACACATATCATTTGATTCGACCAGAACGTACCACATCGAAATAACGGGTTTCGACCCCTAGGTCTTATTGGACCAAATCCTTTTCAAAAGATCTTCTGACCTCCATGAAAACGGCTCAACATTACGTACACAAAATATGAAATGAGCATTCGATTCATTTCCAACTCAGCCCATGTCAATATTTCTTCCAACATAAGATCTAGTGTTAAGATCGGATCGCATTTATTGCCCGATTAAAATAAAAGTTTGCACAAAACATTTCTTTGGTTCAAGGACGAACCCTATTGAAATTGGAGATAATAGATAATTGGAGATAATCGGTAAAAAATAGATTTAGCTCC